CCATCCCATCCCATCCCATCCCATCCCATCCCATCCCATCCCATCCCATCGAATTGTGTGTGTCTGTGTGATGCAGCAGGTCACTATCTCCTCCTGGAATGTGGAGGGGTCCTTCTCCCAGTCTCTGCCTTCTGGCTGAGGAGGCTGGATTCCCTCAGTACAACTAGTCTTGTTATTAAAGACTGAGGCAAAGAAGGCAGTAATCACCTCAGCCTTTTCCTCATCACTTGTTGCCATGCTTCCTTCTGCATCTAGCAGGGGATGGAGGCTCTCTCTGGTCTTTCTTTTGCTGCTAACATACTTATAGAAACATTTCTTGTTGTCCTTGATTGCTGAGGCCAGATTAATTTCCAGCTGGGCTTTAGAATTCCTGATTTCTGCCCTGCATAGCCTCAGAGCATCTTTGTAATCACTGTGAGTCACTAGCCCCTTCTTCCAAAACCTGTAAACTCTCCTTTTCTCCTTCAGTTGCAACCAAAGCTCCCTGTTCAGCCAGGGTGGCTTCTCTTAGAGCACCCAGGGACTGCTTGCTCCTGAGCCATTAACACTTCCTTCTTAAAGAGTGCCCAGCCTTCCTGGACCCCTATACCCTTCATGACTAACTCCCAAGGGATCCTGTCAAGCAGGTGCCCAAACAAGACAACGTCAGCCCTTTGGAAGTTCAGAATGTCATTTCTACTACCCCCTCTCCTGGCCTCCCTAAGAATAGAGAACTCTATTATTTCATGATTGCTGTGCCCTAGTCAGCCTCCAACCACCACATCATCCACCAGTCCTTCTCTGTTCACAAGGAGGAGATCCAGCAGGGCACTTCTATTTAATTATGACCATTTCTTCCCTAAAAGTGGAGTTGCTAAGGCTTGCACAGTGGAATAATGACCACTCACAAAGAGGAGTTAGGTTAGCTGATAATATTCCAGGAGCAATGAATACATTGGTTCCTGTGGCTGTGAGCAGGGCTGGCAAAGTCAGAACCAGGGTCAAAAAGACAGCAAACTACAGTGTTGCCTCCAGCAAGTTTCCTACTCAGTGTTATTATTCCGAACAACAGTGGCAGAAGACCTCTTGCATTAAGCATTGCATTAAGGCTACAGCAGAGATGGCTGCTCTAGCATATGTCAGCACGCACGGGTTGCCTAATGGCCAGTGCTGTGGTACAAAATAACATGCTGATCGTCCTCTTTGTGTCATGGAGGAAGTTAAATGAAGGCCACTGTCGTAGCTTTTACTCACCGTTAGGTTTATTTGTAGCTGGATGCTGTTGGACGGTTTCAGAATAGCTTTTATCAGGAATTAAAATAAATGCATGCAATATGAATATTCAAATGAAGCTAACACATTTATCATTTCAGGTCTCCTACGCAATACAGCTTGGTTTGCAGATTTAAAGTAATTTATACACATTGCAGAAGTGGCTAAAGAAAAAAAAACTAGACCCTGGCTTGATTGATGAATTCTAATGGAAAGTTAACATTTCATTTTTTTTAATCTTTTAAAGTGCATACATAGAAGAGATGGAGTATATAGGTATCACACCAATCTCACATTTTATACAATTATTTTTATTCTGTGTAGTGAAAGATGTATCAGGTTGTCAAACTACCAGAAGGAAAAAAAAACAAAACACTCAACCCTGATGCTTTAAAGAATTAGTCTCAGGAGGACTGTGGAATTTTACCATTATATTTCAGAATAACAGAGGTGATAAAAACAGCCAAAGTTAGAACATAATCCTGTTAGCTGCACTAATAATTATAAGCTTCAATGACAGGACAAAATGCTGCAATTACTATGTCATCTGTCTTGTCATGGATTGTGACTAATTACCATCCTTGCTACAACACCCACTCTGCTTATCCTTTACATCTAAAACAAAGGGATTCACACACATCTATTGGCAATCCCACTGCTTATCTCCCAACACTATTCAGAACCAGTTAGGAATATTTTCTACCTTCTTAAGAAAAAGGAAAATGGAATAACAACTGATACACCAAGATTCTTAAATGTCAATGCACTCCTTGCTTTTCTGCTTGCAAAAAGACAATTAAATTACTTTATTCTGGGGATAATTGATAAAGCACCAATATTATCTTTGCTTTCTCAACTTTAGTGCTAGCATCTTTGGAAGATGCATTATACTACTAGTCAAAAGGCCACTGTTCATCTCATTTCATTTGATGTTTCCTAGCTTGGAATCTGTGCCTCCTGCTTCCTACTTACGTCTCCATTTTAATTCTAGCTGTTCCTTCTGTGGGGAAGTAAGGCAGGTTCAACTGATGATCCTTCTGGGATTCTTATGGTTTACAGAAATTCACCACAGTAATACTCCTTCCAGCTACTGATACCAATACACCAATAACTTCATCCTCCCCTCTTGTCTTGTTTCTTTCACACCTCTACAGCGAGTTGACTTTGTGGAACCTCAAAACACTGCACTGCTTGCTGCTCTGACTGGTTATAGGACTTGATTTTTAAATCAGTTGAAAAATCCAGAACACAGCGGGGAATGGGCAGCTATCAACATACTTCTAACTACAAGATTTTAATTGTACAGACCCAACACTTGCTGGTTACAGCAGCTACTGTGCACAGAAAACAAAGTGCCTCTGTAGTAGAAAAATGAGATGGAACTTCTGATTTCTCTACTCAATAACACAGGCACCTTTTTAATGTTAACAATGTGGTCTTGTCTATTATGGGAATAAACACTTGGCTATACTTGCAAAACAGTGTTTAATTAAATTATTTGGAAAGCACTGATCATTTGTTAAATGTCTAACTAGTTTAAGCAGATGCAAAACACCAGAAAGAAAGAAATAAGTTAATTTCTCTGTCTTTACATATATGTCTAGAGAACTCGGAACCTAGCCACTGTAAAGTCTCAGTAAAATATGGCTATACTGAAACATGCACTTAACTGTTTCAAGATTAAAAGGCAAAGCAGATCTTGAGGGAATAAAAAGCCCGCCAACCTCTTCTCAAAGTCCCTCATATACTTATTCAAAGAAATTCTAAAAATCAATATACATTTTGCAAATTGTATCTAGTTTATGTTAGTATAGGAATCCTCAGAATACTGAAACACATCAGATATTCTTTGGTACCTTTTTAGTCCCAAGTTGTTTTGAAAGGTGAAATAATAGCACTTTCAAGCTCTCTCTTTTGTAGGTCTGCCACACTTGCCAGTAACTCTGTTCTTCTTAATTGAACTAACTGTAAAAATAACCTACGTCTTTCTTACATATGTAATTAAGAACGTTATACATCTAACTAATGAAGCTATCTGCATAACTGAGCTAATGATGTGGTATGAGAAAGTTACCACTGATTATATAAAAGCAAATTTAGGACAATCTATGAGCAATTTCAAATTCCAATAAAGTGGGCCATATTTTTCCAACCCTTTCCTCTGCCAGTCATTCACACCCATTCCTTCTTGTCAGTTCTGTGGTTCGTGCAGCTGCAATATGACCTGAATCAGGGAACTAACCCCATTGAACAGTGAATAGGCAGACCTTTCCTTACTGAAAGAAACAGAAGTGCCTGTCCCTGTGAGCAGGCATCTATTATGTGATCAATCTGTCAAGACACTATATGAGATAGAAACCACAGTTTTGCAAATTCAATGGTCTTACAAGACATTGATAAAAACTGTAACATATTTTCATATAAGCAAGATTGACCACTCACATGAAATGCACTAATATTTCTGAATGATAAATACTATCTTTCTAATTAGTAAGTTTATGAGCTGATACTATTTTAAAATCATAATTATATACTATTGCCCCCATGCTGACTACACACAGAATTTCAGCACATGGGATGGATGGACAGACTGAGTTAAGACTACATCAAGAATTTAATGTATAACACTTCTAAACAGCCTTACTGAGTCTGTAACTTCAGTTACAGTTTATAACAATCCAGTTTGAGGAAAAAACGATTATTTAAACACAGTCCTTTCTCTAGTCTTTCCATCACTAAACTGTTCTTACTCGTAGAAGTTGGATTTTTCATCTAAATCATTAGTCCCTATTTTCAGAGGCAGAGAGAGCAAAATAGATTATCATTGCTTTCAAAACTTCCTATGACATTATTAGTTTGTAGATGCTTGATTTATTTACAGAATTTTAGCCTAGTGGAAGGGAGAATGACAGGGAAGAATAATCTGCTGGCTCTTCTGGTCAAAAAAGTTGAGCACTTTTGTCTAATAGTGTTTTTAGTTAAAATATTTAACCTACATACCTTTAGAAGCATGATAAAACCAAATCTGCACATACAACAGGCTATCAAGTGTGAAGAATCATAACTGAACATTGCAATCATACATATTATTTTGTGTAATAACATTGTGCTAAAACAAATCAAATCGAAGCAATTCAGCTTGATTAATCATTATTCAAAAGTATCTCAGTATCTTAAAGACTTACTCCAGTTCTTAAAAGAGAACAGAGAAACCTGAGGTGCGCTTACATTCTGCTACAGGTGATAAAGAAAAGCACCTATGCATCTGCCAGCTGATTTTAAATATTTCACAAAATACTGTTCCTGACATAGGTAAAAGGCACAGACTAGAAACCAGTCTTTGGAAATCACTTCATTAGAACCAAGCAGTTACTATGTAACTAATTCACAGTACTGAATATTGTTTGATAGCTCAACATAGATTTTTTTATTTCAGCTGATGGAGTCTTTCTGCAATATTAAAGGAAGGCTGTGCCACAAACTAGTGAGTCTATTCAAAATATCAACAATAAGTCTAAGTTTACCTTCATCCTATCCATGTATGCTTCCATTTTTAATTGCTCCACGGCTTTCCTGGCTTGAGATATACTGGCTGTACTGTTTGACACTAGTTCCTTCATTTTGTTTTGCCTAGAAGAGACAAAGTTGAGACAATTTAAAAGTATAGGTAGCAAATACAGCAATTAGTAAAACGACAGTTATCTGAAATCTAACCAGCCCTCACACACATTGAACTGCCAGGCTGCAGGTCACAGATTCAAACCAGACACCATTTATTTCTGTTCTCTTTTTCAACAGCACCTTATTGCATTACATATTTGCATTCTCCTCTGCCAGTATTCAATCTTAATTCTGCAAACAACATACAAATACAGAGTGCATGGCCATTATTTCAGTGTAGAAATGGTTGTGCTGGTTCAGATTGCCAATGCAGAACTGCTGTTCACAAACAGACTTTGCAGCCATTACTCAGTTTGGCTGTATACCCCAGTTACACCTAGTAATATGAAAACAAGTTCAGAAATGTGCATAATGGGAATGAATGCCACACTGCTCTCACAGCATCAGAGAGAGAGAAATTTTAAGATAGAGAATGAGTCAAAATTCTGAACACAGATTTAAGGACTTCAGAAAGGAAGCAACAGATTAAGAAGAAATAATGCAGTGGTTTCCAACTTCTTGCTTACACATTCCCAGTGGTCTACAGGTGACTAAAAACCAGTACAGTATACTATACAATTACAGGTTTTTTTTTTTTTTTAAAAAAAAAAAAAAAAAAAAGAGATCTGCAGCTCTTGGGAAGGGACATCTAATTAAGGTATGTCAGTGTTTGCTTTTCTTGCATTGCTACTCCCTGAGGGCTTGAGGGTAAATCGACTCATTGTCACGCAGTCCTCAGCATTTTTACCAGATTAGTTAAGATGACTACATTGGAACCTTGAAAAAATTTACAACACATATGCTCTGGGTGGTCTGCATGGTAAGAGACTTCCTGCTGACGCCACTATGCGGTGCTGGTCCAGCACAAGTAACAATTATTATTTTGAAGTCACTGGAAGTGGGCTAAACCTGCATGGAAACAAATATAAGATGGAATACAGACAACCTAGGCAGGTCCTGGACTAGTTATACTACCTAGTAAGACTAGGTTCTGAGGCTTCCATCAGCCAAAACACTCGCCCATGGTCCTGTACATATGGTATGCCACAAGTGCCACCTGAATAAAGGTTAGTCTGGCACGGAGTGTTAGAAACCAATACACAGGCAATGCAAAGGACGCAGGGTGTGAGAAGCAGATGGGACACAGGAGAAAACACACAAAAAAGAGGCATTTTGTATTGCTGTCAAAATTAGGCTTGGGTCTTTCAAAATGAATATTTCCAGCTTATTTCTGGACATGAAGTGAACACCTAAAACTACACAAATTTCCCTTCTTGAACCTCAGTAACTTACCTGAGCCAATCACTAGGATAAAAGACACAAACGGGAAATTAAGTAGGATGCAGGAAGTGCTCTTATACAAAAAATTGTATCTACAATGTCTTAAATGTGTTAGAGTCAATAAAAGTACACAATCCAGAGCACAAAAAGAATGGAGAAATAACTTTTAAACTGCTTTGATTTTGCAAAACATAGATGTTCAAAGACAAGGCAAAGGTAGCTGTTTCTTCTTTCCAAAAATCAGTAACCTGTGCTGTAAAATGGGATGGTGGAATACAAATACAACAGTGAACCATGCTCAACACTAATTTGAAGCAGCAAAACAATCTTTTTCAGCACTTGTGTAGGTCTAGGCAGGGGAAATGCTACCTTAAAATATATGAACTGTGCCGAATAAAACAAGAGCTTTAATATATGCCGAGACAAAGAACAGGTGTGTCATTTCAATGGAACACACGCTTCCTCCTTGCATGCACTCTGACGAACTAAAATCGTGTCAGAACACAGTAGCTTTTTCTTTCCTTGTTTCGGTCTTTGTTTACAATCTTTTAATTCATATTCCTCACAAGGCACAGGATTAAATACACGTGGAAGAACTGGCTTTGTGTAAAATGCCATGTACTGAACAAAAGCCCACAACCAACCAACAGCCTCCAATTTTCAGATGTGTTTTGACTTGCAGTGGACAAGCAGAAAGGATATGAGACTTTCACAAGAGCAGGAGGTTCTGAATTACAGCTCATCTCTGGACTTTTTGTGTGATGCAACATCCTAGCTTTTAAGTCTTAATCTATCCATAAAGATAAGAATAAACACATTTATCTGTGTTTACACAATGATACCCCACAAGTATGAATCATTTAAATTTTGTTATAATCTCCATGGCTAGAATACTAATGAACATAGAGCCAAAAAAGTCAAAGCTAACTGAAGTCACAGAGCCATTTCTACATTTGCCACAGACAGCCCAAGACCAGAGGCAAATTAGAAATTTAATTTGGAATAATACATTTAAATTAAACTGAATTAAGCAACTGAAACTCCATGAACAGTACAGAGAATTCCAGACCTCCCAAGCTTTTCTGGCAATTCATTCAGTCAAACCATAAAAGTTATAAACACTAGAGCTAGATAATTTGAACTGTCACTGGCTTCATCACAGTTGGCGAGAACACTGTTCCTAGTACTTCCAGCCAGTTTTTAAGTATCTACTAAGTAAGAGATTGAGTTAAGACCATAATGGAATTTTGAAAAGGTTATTAGGCACAAGAATACTTGAAAAAATCCAAACCATTTCCAAAACAACATAGTATGTCCTTACATATATTCTGAAAGAGAAAATGGGGAAAAATTTAATAAAGAAAATATTCGTCTTCTCTGGTAAACTATTTCATGATATCCAAAAAGAATCAGAATAAGAGGCTTCATAAAAACAACTTTAAATAAAGAAAGTCTGGCACTAGATGTTTCAACCACTGAAGAAAATTTCCACTTATCCTGAGTAAGAGGTTTGTTTATACTCAGAAGCACAAACGTTTGTTCTGTTCTAAATACTGCTCCTACCCTGGCCTTCACACGCACTTAAATATTTAACTATCATATTTCTGGAAATACTTAGCATTCATTTAAGTATCTAATCTCTTTTATTCATGCAGACAGTTCTGCTTCCAGAACTTTGTAAGATGGATTTCTCCTGTTTCACATTTCACTTACCAAGCTACATACACCTCTGCCTTCTCTTTCACTCTCTGCAAATACAGTACGTATCTGTGCATCAGTTAAGGCCCTATTATATATGCAGTGATGTTGACAATGAGAATTGCACTCACTTTCAAACCAGGCTGTGATGAACTGGTCCTCTGCAGACAAAGCTTTGGCTGAGACTTGGTTCTGTTCTCCTTAGGACCTGTGATACTCTTTAATAACCTTAAGCTTAATATTCTCTAATGAAATAATATTGCTACTTAGAAATAAAGCTCTGGAGAGAAAAGAAATTTTAATAACGAGTCTATTACACACCCTCTCCCTCAATGACCATCCCCTGGAATGCAAGGGAGCCTCCTCCTTCAAACACTCTCCTGTGGGATCACTCTTGGCGTTTCCTTTGTGGCTGCAGCCTGACAAATGGTTCCAATCCTCTCTCCTAAAAACACCTCCTTTTATTCTTGAGGTCTTTAGACCTCAGGAAAGGCACAGTTAGCTTTGTATTGTATCTGGGGGATAGCCTACGGGATCATAGAATAGTTTGGGTTAGAAAGGCCATTTAAAGGTCATCTAGTCCAACCCCCCTGCCATGGGCAGGGACACCTTCCACTAGACCAGGTTGCTCAAAGCCCCATCCAGCTTGGTCTTGAATGTTTCCAGGGATCTACCACCTCTCCAGGCAACCTGTCCCACTGTTTCACCACCCTTATCCTAAACAATTTCTTCCTTTTATCTAGCCTAAATCTGCCCTCTTTTAGTTTAAAACCAGTACCCCTTGTCCTATTGCAACAGGCCTTACTAAAAGTTTGTCACTTTCTTTCTTATAGGCCCCCTTTAAGTACTGGAAGGCTGTTATAAGGTCTCCCTGGAGCCTTCTCTTCTCCAGGCTGAACAAACCCAACTCTCTCAGCCTGTCTTCATAGGAGAGATGATCCAGCCCCCTGATCATTTTTGTGGCCCCCTCTGGACCTGATGACCACACTTCCTTGTGCTGAAGACCCCAGAGCTGGACATAGCACTGCAGGTGGGGCCTCACCAGAGCGGAGTAGGGGCAGAATCACCTCCTGTGACCTGCTGGCTGTGCTTCTTTTTGATGCTCAATCTCCCCATCTTTTAAGTTACCTAAAAAGCCCTAAACCAGAAATTACTCAGCTGGGTTTGCTAATGTTCATTCCTGGTTGTTTTTCCAGCAGCCCCCTATTAAGTTAGATTGATACACACATACACAGGTCCTGATAATCACCGTAGTTACAGTAACTATGTTAGTGATCAGACTACGTGCAGCCTACATGTTACTGATGCATGCCAGCAGACCTAGATTATATAGGAGCTCTTTTATCCAGTGTGTTTTTCTGCAGTGCACTGAGCTCATTAATCTAGACTCTGTGACTCTTCTTTAAGGGGAACACTGAGCGCGTTAGCAAAGAATAGTGACAGCAGCTACACGGCCTTTTGCAGCCAAGTAGTTTTTGCTGACTGGCACACCACTAGCCAGCCACTTCCTAAAGCATTGCTCCTGAGCTGCGTAGCGACAGCCTCCCAGCCAGATGAGTTTTCTGGGGTTTTGAGGGTTTTTACCCCACATAAACTTCATCCTTTTTCTGGGTGCAGTTAACTCATTTGTGCCAACGATCTTAATCTCCAGGGTTCATAAAAATGCTTGTGAAGAGCAACTTTTCTTTATTTGTTTTTAGAATAGATTAGATTGTACCCAACAGCACTTCAAAGGCCAACTTATCATATGATAACCCAGGAAGTTGCATAAATATTTGCAGGTACAGCTTGACCTTGCATAGGGGTAAGGAGTACAACCTACGTTCACCAATCTTTATAACTACTTGTTAGTAAAATGCAGAAAAAGTCTCAAAATTTGAGTAACATGGAAGCAAAATATAATTTTCAAACTCTTCAGTACGGATTTCTACAAGCAACAGGGATGAAAAACTGCACTGCAAATTCCCCCCCCCCCCCCCAAACTCATCTGGCCACTGCTGCTGCTCCTGCATTCACATTTAATTGCATCATAAGGATTTACATGCTATAAGACAAAGAACACATGCTAGATGGTTCAAATAATCAGATAGTTGTCAGACATACAATATTTTTACCACTAGATTCTAACAAATTTACTTTTTAAGCTAAAATGTGAGGGGTGAAATGGCTGTTTTAACACGTATTTTCATCAGGTTTTATATAGACATGTTTTCTTTTTAATCTGCAACTTCATGTTTTACCACAACCAGGAGTGTCCTACTAGAGTTGGCCTATAGTCTTTGAATGCAGTACCTGTAACAACCTGCATGATCTCTGTTTCTGGAATCTACATGAACTAGCCCCTAACGATGCTTATATGGGCTTCATTCACCTGCATTACAGAATCTGAATTTTAAATTTTTGCTGGGAATGCTAGCTCAGTCAGTGGCAAGTAAATCTCTACAGAGGTCATTTGTCAGTAGGTTGTAGATTACTACAGTAACAGAGTCCTGTCTGTACCTCTAGAAGCTTAACTAATGTTCCAGAGGGTATTTTTCAAGGCAAGCAGAGCTTTTAAATAGTATTAATTACATTTTTTGGGATAGAGTAGCAACATATGGAAATGTGACTTATTTGCATATGAAAGAAGAAAAAAGCCAATACAGCTTTAAACAAAGCATGAAGAAAACTAAAAGGTAAACCATTTGTTAGTAGCAAACCAGGTGATATTTTCCCCCCACTGCTCTCACGTTCTCTCCACAAAATGCATAGTAAATTCTGCAATCACAGCAAATCAAGGAATTGGGGGGTGGGGTGGGTACGTTCATGCTCAGTATGAAGGACCTCTTTCAACTCTCTCTCCAAAGATGGATGTGGTTTAAATGCAAAGACAGTCCTTAAAGTTGATGTTTCAAAGTTGAAAGGTGTTTTTATTTCCTTACAGAACCCATTTTTCCTGCAGAACATTTTACCATGTTTAATTCAGTTCACAGATAAAAGAAAATCAGTGGAGAAGTGTTGTTTCTCTTATTCATTGTCATGGGTTTGTCTAAACAGTGGATCTCTCAACCTGAGATCAGGGTTCACTTTTTCCGAAACAGCCTGGAGACTCCCTTTCCTCTCTCCACAAGTGAGTATCTGGCTTTTGCCTCCCCTTCCCTTTCTCATCATGTATATCCACAATCAGAACAGAATGATCAGGGTTGACCACAGAATCCTGCAAGTGGCATCAGATAGTCAGGCCTTGCCACACAAACCTCTCCCAAACCTCGGCTTTCAAGAGGAAGAGCCTTGCAGCCTGTCAGCTGCCTCCCAGAGATCCCAGTCTCCCACTTTCTTCCTTCCCTCCAAGAATCCAGAGGGGAGTTGCTTTTCTGCCTTTCCTTAGCTCAGTCAGGTTTTCAGGGAGGCCACTGGGAGGAAGTGGAACGTCTCTGCTTCAAAAGCCATCACTTCATCCAAAGCGTAGTTACACATCCTGTGGGAAGGAAGGACACGTGCACATATGGGCCAAGTGATATGCCTAGGGCTTCCATCCCAGTCATTCACTCTGACAGCCACATGATGTAGGCCATAAACAGAACTTCCCTGCTTTGTGATTTTTAAAATATGGCAGACATGAAAACCAGCAGAAGCAGATCTGGAGCTAGGTGTGGGATCCATAAAAGAGAGGTGAAATGAAGCCAAACCCACATTACTAGTCATCTCCAACAATGTGGTACAAAGATCTGTTTATTACCCAACAATGTGACAGTGTATATACAAAGACAGTGTGGAATGTGACATTTACAGGAAATTTCAGTACATCATGCACAGATACTATTGCAATGTTATTTTAATAGTTCCAGGATGTTAAGCGGAATAAATAGTCCTTGCTTCAAAAAAATCATTTAGTTTTACATAAAAATATATAATATTGCACTCTTTACAAGGCCAGCAATTTTGCATATTGATTTGTAACAAGTGGAATTCTACTTTATAAAAATAAGCCTTTGTGAGCAACACCCCAAATAAGGAGGCACAAAGGCACCCCAAAACCACAGTATTTTCTTTTTTTTCCTCTTAAATAAAGCACATCACTTCAACATGAGCCAGGAAGCTTTTCAGTCCGGACCTTACATTAACATTTAGACAGTGAAAAACATGACTAAAGCCATCCCATACAACACTGCTACAATATATGCAGTTCAAAACTCAATTCATACAGTATGTAGCCAGTTGCTTAACAGACCCAAAGATCAGACTTTGTGTCGTGGACTATGACAATATTATTATTAAGTTTTCTAGTTTGAAAAGTTCTTCAAATCAGGAAGTTGCAAGAGTTTCTGAAGACTTTAGAATTTTCAGAAGTGTAAAGATCTGTCTGTATATGTCATCTTCATCATAACTTGACAATTTCATATACAGTGTTTTGAAGGCAGATGAACCTTAAACATGAGAAGATACAGCAGTTCATCTGTACGGCAATAGGAGAGCATGTCAATGGTGAAAAAGCAAAGCAATTTAAAACAAAGTAACTCCATCAGACTTGCGTAGCATTCTTGTTTTACCATTCGCATGACTACAGCAGGCACTCATTCATGGTGCCAGGTTTAGAGGTCTTCAAATCTATCAACTGAAATGTTAATTTTTGATCTGGCTTAAGAATTCAAAATTTAAGCCTTTCACGATGGAGGCTTATTTTTTTCCCCTCAAAAGATAGCACCTAGGAATAAATAACATATTTGCTCAGTTTATCTGTGTAAACTCTTCAAAATCACCTGATGCCTATGAACATTGGTTATTCAAGCAGTTAAATTCAAACATTTTACAGTTTATTGAACCTCAGTGACACTAAAACAGGAGCACATCTGTGCCTTCTTTAACACCTTTTTTCAGAGCTCTGGAAGATAAACTGTGTGTGTATCTAATATATGCCACAGAATTGCAATAGCTAGGTGTTATGAAGTTTGGGAGTTAACACTACATTAAAACACAAAACCAAACCATGATCAACTATTGCTTCATGATGACATGAGGTGTCTACCCACCACTAAAACAAATAGATTATTTTTGCCTGTTGTAAAGACTATTATACTAACAGAGAAAATGGCAAAAATTACAAATTAGAGATAACAGAAATTCAATTTTTATCATTACAATACCATAAGATGGTGCAAAAAGCACCTACTAAGTTCTTTGCTTCTCAAAAAAGCAATTTTAAGTGGTCTTGCATTTTAAAGTTTTGGGTTGCTTATCCCAGAGCTAACTACACTACACTCAACTAATCAGATATACATATGTTGAGATTTTAATAGATAT